AAGTGGGGCATAAAAGCGTGTATGCACCCGGAGAAAAAAGGAAAGCGAGGAGAGAGAGAGATTTTGGGGGATGTTAAATGAATGTATAGGGGCCTTTGAACCAAGTGAGAGGTAATTTTGGTAAGGGAAATTTAATGTAAAGTAGGAGAAACTTTTAGAGAGGGGTGGGATTTAAATTTGGGGGTTTCCAGGGGTAAAAGATAATGGGAAACCCTTTTATTGAACTTTTTTATTGAAAGGGGTTTTTATAGGGAAACATATTTTAAGAAAAAGAGGAAAAAATAAGTATACAAGATATTTATGGGAGGGCGGGAAAAGACAGTTTTTTTTTGGGTTAAAGTATTGGTTTGATAAAAGACTGTTGAGTAGACTTTAGGGTGTACAAGTTTAAGAGGGGCCACGATTTTCAGGAAACACTTTCTAGTTGTAGCTACACTGGGGGAGTAAAAAGGGGTTTGGGGTACAAGGGGAATAGAAGGGATCAGGGAAGAGGAGGGAAGGTTTATAAACTAAAAAAGGAGCATTTTTGGGGAAGATATTTAAAAACTATTGGGGATAGATGGGCTAATGAAGGGATAGCAATGGGGTCGAAGAGGGATGGGGGAGGTTTTAAAAAATTTTTTGGGTTTGAGTTTCCCGCAGAAGGGTTTTTGGTTACAGGGAAAATGGGTCGGGAGGGGAAAGGGGGCGATTTGGGGGAATTATGATGTGAAAGAGTATAAGGGAGAAAAAGTTAGCAAAAAAGAAAAAAAAAATTTTTACAAAGTAAAGTGATCAAGGGGGGAAGAGTATATGGAGAAAAAGAGAGAGGTTAAGAGAGTGGTGAAGCAATGTAAAAAGAGAGCAAATGAGAGAGTGGGTGAGATGTTATCACAAATTTTGTTGAAAAAAAGAAAAGTTTTGGAGTGAGATTAACAATTTTAAGAAAGCCTAGAGAACAAATGCATTTGTCAGTTAAAAATAGGAGAGGAGAGTTATTAAATGGAGAGTTAGAGGTATTGGGAAGATGGAGGGAATATTTTGAGGAATTGTTAAATGTTGATGAAGATAGGCAAGCTGTGATTTCGTGTATAGGGCAAGGAGGAACAACATCTTGTAGGAGTGAGGAAGAGCCGGCTGTGAGTGTGGGGGAAGTTCGTGAGGCAGTAGGTAAAATGAAAGGGGGTAAGGCAGCCGGGATTGATGGGAAAAAGATAGAAATGTTAAAAGCAGGTGGGGATATAGTTTTGGAGTGGTTGGTGCAATTATTTAATAAATGTATGGAAGAGGGTAAGGTACCTAGGGATTGGCAGAGAGCATGCATAGTTCCTTTGTATAAAGGCAAAGGGGATAAAAGAGAGTGCAAAAATTATAGGGGGATAAGTCTGTTGAGTATACCTGGCAAAGTGTATGGTAGAGTTATTATTGAAAGAATTAAGAGTAAGACGGAGAATAGGATAGCAGATGAACAAGGAGGCTTTAGGAAAGGTAGGGGGGGTGTGGACCAGGTGTTTACAGTGAAACATATAAGTGAACGTATTTAGATAAAGGCTAAAGAGGTCTTTGTGGCATTTATGGATTTGGAAAAGGCATATGAAGGCTGGATAGGGGGGCAATGTGGCAGATGTTGCAGGTGTATGGTGTAGGAGGGAGGTTTTCTGAAAGCAGTGAAGAGTTTTTACGAGGATAGTGAGCTCAAGTTAGAGTTTTGTAGGAAAGAGGGAAATTATTTCCCAGTAAAAGTAGGCCTTAGACAAGGATGTGTGATGTCACCCTGGTTGTTTAATATATTTATAGATGGGGTTGTAAAAGAAATAAATGCGAGGGTCTTGGCAAGAGGCGTGGAGTTAAAAGATAAAGAATCACACATAAAGTGGGGTTGTCACAGTTGCTCTTTGCTGATGACACTGTGCTCTTGGGAGATTCTGAAAAAGAAGTTGCAGAGATTGGTGGAATGAATTTGGTAGGGTGTGCAAAAGAAGAAAATTGAAAGTGAATACGGGGAAAGAGTAAGGTCATGAGGATAACAAAAAGATTAGGTGATGAAAGATTGGATATCAGATTGGAGGGAGAAAAGTATGGAGGAGGTGAATGTATTCAGATATTTGGGAAGTGGACATGTCAGCGGATGGGTCTATGAAAGATGAGGTAAATCATAGAATTGATGAGGGGAAAAGGGTGAGTGGGCACTTTGGAGTCTGTGGAGACAAAGAACTTTGTCCTTGGAGGCAAAAAAGGGGAATGTATGAGAGTATAGTTTTACCAACGCTCTTATATGGGTGTAAAGCTTTGGGTGATGAATGTTGCAGCGAGGAGGAAGGCTGGAGGCAGTGGAGATGTCATGTCTGAGAGCAATGTGTGGTGTGAATATAATGCAGAGAATTCGTAGTTTGGAAGTTAGGAGGAGGTGCGGGATTACCAAAACTGTTGTCCAGAGGGCTGAGGAAGGGTTGTTGAGGTGGTTCGGACATGTGGAGAGAATGGAGCGAAACAGAATAACTTCAAGAGGTTTTATCAGTCTGTAGTGGAAGGAAGGTGGGGTTAGGGGTCGGCCTAGGAAAGGTTTGGAGGGAGGGGGTAAAGGAGGTTTTGTGTGCGGGGGCTTGGACTTCCAGCAGGCATGTGTGAGCGTTTTGATAGGAGTGAATGGAGACAAATGGTTTTTAATACTTGACATGCTGTTGGAGTGTGAGCAAAGTAACATTTATGAAGGGGTTCAGGGAACCCGGGAGGGCTGGACTTGAGTCCTGGAGATGGGAAGTACAGTGCCTGCACTCTGAAGGAGGGGTGTTAAAGTTGCAGTTTAAAAACTGTAGTGTAAAGCACCCTTCTGGCAAGACAGTGATGGAGTGAAGATGGTGAAAATTTTTCTTTTTTGGGCCACCCTGCCTTGGTGGGAAACGGCCAGTGTGATAATAAAAAAAAAAAAATAAATTTATATATACAGTGGACCCCCGCATAACGATTACCTCCGAATGTGACCAATTATGTAAGTGTATTTATGTAAGTGCGTTTGTACGTGTATTTTGGGGGTCTAAATGGACTAATCTACTTCACAATATTCCTTATGGGAATAAATTCGGTCAGTACTGGCACCTGAACATACTTATGGAGTGAAAAAATATCGTTAACCGGGGGTCCACTGTATATATATATATATATATAATATTATATATATATTTAAAATTTATATATAATATATATATATATATATATTAATAAAATATATACCACACACACACACACACACACACACACACACACACACACACACACACACACACACACACACACACACACACACCATACAACATACATACATACATACATACAGTGGGCCCCCCCTTAACGATCACCTCCCAATGCAACCAATTATGTAAGTGTATTTATGTAAGTGCGTTTGTACGTATATGTTTGGGGGTCTGAAATGGACTAATCTACTTCACAATATTCCTTATGGGAACAAATTCGGTCAGTACTGGCACCTGAACATACTTCTGGAATGAAAAAATATCGTTAATCGGGGGTCCACTGTATATACATATATATATATATCTATAATATAAAATGAATGATTGTATGTAGAGGTATGAATGTATATGTATATGGGTGTATATGTGACAACAACTGTCCTGGAAAAAGATGAGGTAAGGGGTTCCTCATTTTATGCTGTAATTGTGTTTCAGACAATTGGCATTGTACCATGCTCAAATATAATAAGACTTTTAAGTGTGTTTTGCAAATCATGATTGCAATAAAAACAGGACATTACATAATGTAATAGTGAATTTACATAAAGCAAGGGAGACTTGTAATTCTTGCTGGAGAGGCTTGGAGGTGAGTAGATGATTGAGGATTGATTATGTTCTGAGTCATCAGTCAATTATTCAGAAATACATTTTCATAATTCAAAACTGTATTCTTTCCTACAAATTCTGTTTAAGTTTAAGAGAGTTGTGAACACTGATCCATGAAAAATGAGAAATTAATTAGACAGAAACATAGGCCAAAAGAGTTCTTTGTATTTTTGCCTCAGACACTTTTTATCTGATGAAAAAGGGTCTCTGACTTAGACTGAAATATACAGATCTCTCTCCACCTATTTTGTGATGAATGGTTTGAAAAACCGACAAGTTGAAGATTGAGACACTTATGCAGCATATGGGAATCTTTATTCAGGAAACGTTTCGCCACACAGTGGCTTCTTCAGTCCAATACAAAGAGGAAGGCGTAAGGAGAGGAGGAGAATGAGGTAATCAGTCCCTCAACCTGGAGTCGATGTGTTCAGTCCATGATGCTGCAGTGTCTGACAGTTGTCAGACACTGCAGCATCATGGGATCTTGTTACAAAGAATTCTTCAACACTTGTTCAACCTTTGGACGAAGACCTACTTCGACTAGTGGATGTTACCACTATGACCCCGCCTCCGCCTGCTTCACCTCACATCACTACAGTATATAAGCCACGTCTACGGCCCTATGCTGTACATTCTACAAGATTGATGGACTGAACACATCAACTCCAGGTTGAGGGACTGATTACCTCATTCTCCTCCTCTCCTTACGCCTTCCTCTTTGTATTGGACTGAAGAAGCCACTGTGTGGCGAAACGTTTCCTGAATAAAGATTCCCATATGCTGCATAAGTGTCTCAATCTTCCACCTATTTTGTTTTAAGTGGGTTCTCAATTTTAATTATAAGAGTACTATTTCATTTTATTGAAATTTGAAATCCTCTACCAAATAACAGTGAGTGTAATGAAATACTACACTAAAAAAATTACCTTTTAACCCTTAAAGTGTCCAAACATATATCTACGTTTGCTCGCGTAGCGCTCCAAACGTAGATCTACGTTTTTTTTTTACATTCTTTCTTATGGAGAAAATCAAGGGCGGAGCACTACGAGCGCAAACGTAGATTTACATTTGGACAGTTAGAGGGCTAAGTTGGCACTGTTTTTACAGATAGTTAAACAATATCTAGTAGTTTATGAAATTTATGAAAGCATTTTTTTTTTACAGGGTAAAATATGTGAAAGTTACATTAGAATAGCCAGTTCCTATCATGATAGAAGAGAGGTCTAACATTTGCCGACGCATTGGGTCTGCACGCTCGGGAGTGTCTAGGGTTGGGTCAGCACGGCCAGGCAGTGGTAGAGTCGGTTCAGCCAGACCTTCCTCAGGCACATGCCGACCCAAGCTTTACACCGGTCGGCCATCATCGGCCCCAATACCCAGCAGGCCTTCATCAGCACCTTCCTCAGCACGAACTGGGCCTTATTCAGTAAGCAGAACATCTGCTGGGTCTGCTTCTTTCAAGTCGCATGATGTATCACACCTAAACCTGAAGGTGGAAGGAAAATCGGTAGGTCACAAAATCTGACTTTCAAAAAATCATTTATCATGTGATGTCTTCATAGTTGTTTACTGTATATATAGATGGAGCTATGAGAGGTAATGGTTAGAGTATAAGAAGTATGTGAACCTAGTTCATGTTAATGATAGTATGCTGGTACGTATTTAAATTAATTTTTGGATTGGGCAGACAATATCTGTTGTTTACAGTTCGGCTTGACAAAGTGGTTACTGAATTGTCCAGTGTTATTACACTACTATAATAATAACTACAGTAGCCAGTAGTTGGTGATTTAAGTTTATCATTGCCTGCATTCATTCATAGGCGGAGTTGTTATTCTCTACAATTTTCCTAGTATTTATATACGTATTTATCTTTGCTTTATTATCATATAAAGTACATTTTAACTAATAATGGTTTCTAGAGCATATGGTGGTGCAGTGAAAAAGTGTTCGAATCTGAATGCTAGTCTGAAACTTCACCTGATAAAGTTGGAGGTTGATGTGTCAGTGTACCGTGTGTGTTAGCAGTATGATGTAGCAAATCAGTATCTGATAGTTATAGCACCAAGGACGAACATCATTTGTTCTATAATTAGAGTGGATGTTGCTAGTAGAGCTTCACAGCTCTTCTGACTTAGGATAAAAGTTTTCACTAGTAGCCACTATATGATCACAGTATTTGTCTCGTCTATCTACTACAAAAATGTAAATAAAATTATTGTATTTTGAACATCTTTATTTTCAATTGTTACTTTAAATTGTGTGAATGGTGTTGTCTGTAAAGAATGGCCAAAATACATTAGTTACACAATTATTTGTTACTGTTAACATGTTTAGTATTGTCCAGAATTAGTGGATAATGCTCAATGGTTATGGAATTGTACATTATTGTTACTGTGGTATTGTCTGGAAACCAATAGACAAAATCTATTGGTTGCAGAATTGTTTGTTATTGTCATTGTATCTAGTATGGTGTGAATAACTTATAATTTTAACATTTCTGCATCCATATATCTGAAGGTCACATTGAAATTTGCCAGCATAATTTTCAAGTTTCTCTCACTTTTATCCAAGTCATTTTTAAGTGACAGACTATTGCTTCTAAACCCTTTTCTGTTAGTGCTTCACTATTTATTTTATCACACAATTTGTAAGCTTGATGTAATTTGCTTCTGAATTCTCCCATTTCTATTACAGAACATGGAACTTAATAACTTAAAATTTCATTATCCATCTGCTCATATTTTTTTTTTTAACATACCGGCTGTTTCCCACCAAAGTAGGGTGGCCCAAGAAAGAAGAAACACTTTCACCATCACTCCATTATTTTCTTGCTCCCTCTCACTACTAACAAGCTTACATGTGCCTAGATTTATTCATATTTGTCATCTTTCATACAATTTTTTGCATCATCTGTACATGTTTGTGTCTGTTCCTTGTGTTGAGTCATTTATATTAGAAATATTAATGGGTAAGTAAACTAAAGAGGCAGGGAAAACATTAATAAGTAGCTTCCTGAACGTAATACAGGTAGTACTACTCAACGACTAAGTTAGGTTCCTAAGAAGTCAGTAAGCTAATTGGTCATTTAATGAGGAGCTGCCCCCTTACCAATATTTGAAGCATACCGTGGTGGTGGTGGGTTTGTGTCAGCCATCTTTAGATATTGCTTTAATGTTACCATTTATAACATTTTTAGAATATTAAAAATAGAAATAGGTATTAAAAACAATAAAAAAGTAAAATTCACATACAGTACACTCATTACTTACCTTAAAATATTTATATTCTTAATGTAGTGAGAGGTGAGTGGTTTTTAGTGTAGGGAAACAATGCACATACAGGTTGCTTATTATATACTTGCCTTAAAATATTTGTAGTCCTAATGTAGGGTGAGAAGTGAGTACATATTTATTGTAGAAAAAGGAAAAAGAGAAGGAGCAAAGAATGAAGTAAGCACAAAAGAAGTTCACTGTAAAGGGATTAGTGGTGTGTCTCAGCATCAAGCAGTCTCCAAGACTACATATTTTGTCTATGAATTTGTACTTTATTGTACACCCCATAGCACAAGATAGAAGTGCAGCAGCCCTTGGAATAGGAAAAACAAAGAGGAAAATGGAAGAAGTACAAAAGAAGTGTCGTGTGGGGTTCGGTAAGGAGACAAGAGGGTTGAAGGTAGACACACTTGTTGGATGGTAATGATATATATATTGTCAGACTGTGGTAATGGGAGATGGAGCCCAGCCTGCCGTGTTCTGCCTTCTATGCCTATGCATCGACTGAGAGGGAGGCAGCTTGTCTCACTGACTCATGCTGTACCCCTTGACGTCATACAGTCACTCGGCCTAGGCATCTTTTATATAAAGCACATGGATGGTACTATGATACGCTATACAACACACATAAGGGGATCAGCAACTATGCTGACAGCTCGGTCATGTTACGTATGTCGTCCCGACATACACTACTATGCTATAGGCTGAACAGGCAGGTGGTTCTGGGCTGATTCTATACAATAACAAATTCATATATAACTTAGAACTAATGGATGGTATCATAATGGATGTTAACAAAATGAGTTTTACGTAATGGGTGTTAACGTAATCAGTTTTAACGTAATGAATTACAAACTATAAGAACAAATCATTGTACAATATGGGATGGAATTGATCGATCGATCTGTATTCATGCACTCTACGGATTCTGAGGAAATAAATATATATATATATATATATATATATATACAAGGTGAAATTAACAGCAAAGGCATCTGGTGCACACTCAGATCATTACTGTCAAATTCTCAGAATACGGAGGGAACGTGAACACGAAAATTTCTGACAAACTAATCAGCTAATAACAAAACACACAGTTGACAGTTTCCTTCATCTCGGACATCTAATTGTACAGGCTGTTTACATCTAAACCCAGTTCTGCGAGGGTAAGGTTTACATATGCAGAATGGTTATCATCTCTGGGAGGATCAAATTCCTCTGCAATGGCCAACACATGCCTTGACTGAGGGAGATTTGATGAGTATCTACATGGACGATCTGAACAAGTATCTACAAAAGATACAGCTACATTCACTAGTGACTGTGGAATTACTAACTCTTCTGCTAGGAGTACTCAACTCGACTGTTCGATACAGTAATTCTTGGCTCATTACAGAGTCACTAATGGGTGCTGGTGGCTTCACAGTCAGAATAAGATCTTCCTGGAGCAGGAATCGAATCACCAGAACACAAGGGATCGGTTCTTTCTTGCTGGAGGAATGAACAAACTCGGTGGAGTGGATGACTCTCCCCGGTTGAAAAAAATAACGCTATAACACGCAATACGAGCAAGGGAGAACGAATCTACTATCTCTCACTACAAGCACAGGGGAAAAGAAATGAACACGGTGAACAATGCTGATATTCAATCTGAGTCGCACACAGTGACACGAGGTATCAACTATAAACTTCACTTACAAATGTTAACAATATGTGAAAGTTACTCGAGAAATAACTTCTTACAGTTCACTGTAAAGAGATTAGCTGGTGTGTTTGTCTGTGTGTTTACATTCTCGGCATTTCTTGGCATCTCTTTTAGCATCTAAGAAATGATTAAACTCGGTGAACAAGGTATGTCGATGGTAATAATCATAATGATAATTACTCTGAAGCGCTTTAAATGTCATACATTATTATTACCATCGACATACCTTGTTCACCGAGTTTAATCATTTGTTAGATGTTCACTGTAAAGGAGTTAGAGTGTATGAACCAACCGTACACATACAGGAATTAATACATGTTTATGTATGTTTACGTTCTTGGCATCTCTCCTCTCTCTCTCTCTCATTTAGTTCTTCTGTCTACCCCACCTACACGACATTTAAAGCGTCTAATACCTATACAGCTCTAATATACATAGGTTTGCATACTGTAAATACTCGGGTAGATAATTTCAAGTAGATCCTTCATGTGTTAGCCCAAATCACCGACCAGTATGTTTTAAATAAGTGACCCACTGATCAGATCAGACTGGTCCGAACCCTCGACTGGTCCGAACCCTTGATGGTCCGAACCCTTGACTGGTTACAAACGGATTCGTTGGACAATAAAGCAGACTGTAAACGGATGGGGTTGTAGGCGCCCTTATCAAACACAAACAATAAATATAAATCAGGAACGTACACGGTAAGCTGTCCAATATACAAGTACAGTTAGAAATAGAAATACAAATAGCTAGAGCTTCATTTAAGGAGGTTATTAATAGAGTATTCAAGAGGTTGCTAGTAGAATTACAGTAAATCAACCATTCAAATCATTATGAAGCTCTGTGTAGTCTGCAGTCAATCAAACAAACGGGCTTCCACATGGATAAATTGTCATTTTTGTGGAAATTGGTGTCACGCCCCTTGTGCAGATATCAAGAACTAGCTACAAGCAGTATTAATACAGGGAAGTGTTTTTGGGTATGCCCAAATGAGATAAATCTGTGGACTAAAATCACAAGGTTATTAAAAGAGGATAACATCAAAGCTGCTTTCATAGAAAACCTGGAAGCTTTCTACAACAGATGGGAACATAAAAAGTCTGGGCTGAATGGTACTACCCTTGATACTGGCCATGTAGTCAGAAACTGTAAGGCTAGAGGTGATGTCCTGGTAGTCAGTAAATGTGGGGCTGATAGCCGCTGTCCTGGGAGACAGTAATGGTGAAGCTGGAGGTGCTGTCCTGGGAGACAGTAATGATGAAGCTGGAGATTTTGTCCAGGTAGTCGGGAATTATACGCAGGAAGGAATACATATAAATGACCTCATAGGGGACAGGAGCCGTAGTGGGGAAACAAGTGTAGTCAAAGATAAGATAAAACCAATATTGCAAACTAGAAATACCACAGGAAATAGCAAACAAGAGGACTCCACTAGCAATAGTGAGGATATATTACCAAAAACAACTGGTGGGAGCTCCATTGTTGGTGCTAGGGAGGATAGGAATAAGACAGGGAAACATGCAC